GGGGGGAGGGGTGACCCACAGAAATTAGGAGCCTGCTGGAAGTCTCCAGAGAGCTGTCACCTCTGCACCTGGGAAGGGAAGGGGGAGGGGCTGGCTCCTCAGGGGCTGGGCCTGGGCATCTTCTCTCAGGAAGCAGGGGAAGCCTTGTGCCCGGCAGGGAGCTGGCTCCATCACTGTAGCCATCTGGGCCCTTACCCCGCTCTGCCCTGTCAGGAGGAGGGGAAGGGAACTCGGGGGCTGAGGTGGTAACAGAGCATCTCCCTCCCTCCCATTTAACACTCCATTGACATCCACAGCAAAGTGTGGGACACTTCCGGCCCACGCAGCCTCCTCAGCACCTGCCCTGCTATCGACAGGCACATTTGCCTTCCCTCTGCCTCCTCTGCCTGTTCCAGTGCGAGAGGAAACCCCAACATGCCCTGGGAGGAGGGTCCCAACTACGGGATGGTTTCCCTCTGTTCCCATTGAATGCTCTGTTCCCTCTCAGACTGGAGGTGGGACAGTATTACTGGGTCTCGGAAAGTCTCATCAACATAGCTCTCTGCCTCCCTTAGCTCCTCCAGTTCAGACACCCTGGCCTCCAAAGCACGAACTCGGTCTCTGAGGGTCAGGAGCTCCTTGCAACGGGTGCACACATACGCCACCCACCCACAGGGCAGGTAATCATACATGTGACACTCGATGCAATAAACAGGATAGCCCCCACTCTGCGGCTGGGCTTCTGTCTCCATTTTTCTTATGAATAAGTTTAAGAATAAACTGGGCTTCTTTTTAAATCTCTGGAATATAGATTATTATAAGAGTTATGTTTTAAAGGTCAGAAGTCACTAGTGCCCTCTAACCTGCCCCTCCAAACTCCGTTAGCTGCTCCTGTTTGCAAAATACTCTGTCTCTTTAAGAGGGGGCGGGGCAATGCCGCGTTCTCACGGAACCCTTACTTTCGCTTTGCGGAACCCTGAAGTTCCACGGAGCACCAATTGGGAAACACTGGTCTATAAATCATGGGGTATGGAGACAGTAACTGAGGACGTGTTATTTACTGATAACATAAGAACTAGGAGTCGCCAGATGTATTAATAGGCAGCCGGTTCAAAGGAAAGGAAAGGAAATATTTCTTCACCCAACGTACAGTCAGCTGGTCCCAAGCTGATGAACTAAATAGGATGTTTTAGTTCAAGGTATTAGAAGCGGAAGAAGGGAGCAAACAAATGCCCTAAACTACACAAGTTGTTTATTTTGGGCTATAATATTGGGGTGCCTGGCCTTACCCCTCTGTGTGACCGAGGGGCAACAGAGACTTACTGACTGAACTGCTCCTTGCCCCGGGGCACGGGTGTGTTGATGCACAAGTAGCTACAAATCCAGGGCACTAGGATTGTGACTTCACGGCTATAAACCTCTGTCACCATCTTTCTTGGTGCGTAACAGCGAGATCGGCAGCAGGAGCAGGCTGCGTTACTTGCACTGATCACTGATCACACCGGAGCTGCAAGGCCAGGAGCACTGAGCGGCGCTGCTGAGGCAACCACATTGCAGCTCGCAGCCCTTAACACTAGGAACCCAAAAGTGCCCCTTTAGACCCTGCTTTAGCTGGCATTAAGCCAGACGGCGTCCGCAGAGCCCCGCTGCTCCCCGTTGTGTGATGCAGAGGGATAGATGGAGAAGAGAAAGGCCCTGTGTTCCTTTGCCTGGCCTGAAAAAGTCCCAGCCCAGGCTAGCACATCTGTACCATGCCGTGGTGCACATAACAAAATGTGTTCCACACATAGATGGGGAAAACGAGAAGGAACTTTGCTCTTAGCTCCTTCCTAAAACACAGTCAGGGCTGGGGGAAGGGGCTGGGTAGCTAACCCCCAGCACTGAAAGGCAAAGATTGGGTGGCTGAGAGATCAGGACCCTGAGACTGAGATGGGGAGAGACTGAGCCCCAAGTTCAGCCTGATTGGCAGAGCAGGCAGGCCCTGCAGGGAGTCAGGCGGCCGGGGGTCCTGTGCTCCACGTGAGCCGAGTTTGCCTGGGTCAGACAGAGTGGGGCTGAGCTAAGGAGAGAGCAGGGGCCCGCACTGAGCTGGGGTGCGCAGAGGGCAGATCCTTTGCTGGGAGCAGGGCAGCAGCCACAGAGTCAGAGAGCAGGGCCTGAGACGCTGCCCAGAGAGCAGGGCCATGCTGGGAGCCATGGAGCCAGAGGGGCCAGGGAAGCCGCCTGGGAGCTGGAGATGGAGCAGCAGAGAGTGCTGGAGCTGGAGCTGGGTGTATTGAGCAGCTGGTGAGACCGAGGAGGCTCTGGGCAGAGGTCCAGTGCAGGGAGATGCCACACGTCCTGGCAGGCCAGCCTTGGAAGGGGATCGTAACTCCAGCCGTGCTGCCTGCCTGTGACAGTAGCTCCAAGAGCACCAAGCAGTTATCACGTGTTGTGGTGTTAACTCTGGAGCCTAATGATGGCTGTGTTGCGAATCGCATTGCCAGTGATCACCTGTGTTATTTGTAGCACCTTAAGGCACCCAATGAAAGATCGGGGAGGCCCATTGTCCTGAATGCTGTAACCACACCTAACACAAAGGCAGCCCCCAAAG